AACTGTTTTTCTCTAATTTACAACTTCAGCGTCCGAATGAAACCCTCGACTCTTCATCGAAAAATTGAAGACGAGACTGAGTTTCCATCGACAGCTTTGCTATCCTTCCGGGATCTGCCAAGTGGTGATCATACTTTAACACCTCAAGAGTTATGCTACTTCGATGACATGGCCACGACTTTGATTATCGACTCTGTCCTGGATTTTCAGACCCACAAAATGCATCCGAGGTTAAATAAGAATCTTCTTTTTTTTTTTTGTAAATTGGATTTGCAACTTTTGACAGCACTTTGGAAGCCATATGGACATTTTTACAGGAAAAGATACATAAAGCAAGATGAACGACTAATGGCAGTGAATATCATGCGAGAGTTCCGACAAACAAACAATTTTTCGCTTGCACTGATAGAGTTCTTCTCGCTGCGATCGGTGAAGGATTTCCTCTCCCGTCTAACCCTCCAGAAGCAAATAGAATTTAGAGACCACGTTAGTTCAAGCTTCATATCTGTACTCTATCTTACCTTAATAATACTAAATTACTGGCACAAGCAAACTTGAGCAAGCGTTTTCAACACCCAACCAGCTGAAGGCTAACTTCAAACACTACTATGTACATCGGAATACGTATGACAGCTGAGATCCGAGGATTCGGTCATATTAGTCATCAACGGAGGGACGCAATGACCTTCGTTTCACGCAGTAGCGGTAGTTACCTCGTTATATACCCCTGGTAGATGCTCCTCTGTGCTTGGGACATCACCTACGATGGCGGGCTCAGATATTGCTCTCGCGATTTCACGCAATTAGTTGAAGATAAATGTGTATCTCTGAAGAGAAATCACTTCCTAACATTCTTGATTTCCCTATACGAAGCCAGTTTGGTAGACTTTTTTGAAACATCGAAATAGAAGTGATTGAAGAAAAGATTGGAGGTTTCGAGCCAAATGTTGGTTCATCTAGATATTGAACGATATTTGGTAAAAGCCCGACCATAGTCGTATCGCCACATAGAACATAATGTAAAAACGAATAAAACGTTTCTAGTAATAAATTTCTGACAAAGTATATTCGTCCCAAAATAGAACATGTCGATCGTGTGGCACTTGATACCCGGTGCCAATAGATCAGGGGTGCAATGTATCAATCCGTCGAAATCGGGAGCGCTTATACAATAGAAAATCAGCTCCTTGTCTTAGATAGGGAGCTAATTTTCTATTGTAAAAGCGCACCTGATCTTCGACAAGAGATTGATACATTCTCCCCAGGTCTGCAGCAAGAAGTGCACGTTCTGATCAAACAAATCCTTCCTCCCTCATTTCTGGGCTCAAGTTACGTCTGAGAACATGGGTGCGCTGTGCTCTCCGTAGACACCAATAATTTTACGGGGCCTCATATCGTCCAGTATTTAAAGTTATTTTTGAATACTATGATTGCAAAAACGAATCCTGAAGACCGTTCTCAAATACTGCAAATAAGGTCTAACAAGTGAAATAATTTAACTTTTGATTCTAAGAAATGTGAACGAAATTTGAAGTTGGAAATGCTAGGACTTTTCCCTAGTTCTCTACTACAGTGTTGTACAGCATAATGCTTCTCTTGCACTGGATCTGCTAAATCAGGACGTGTGCGAGATTTTTTGGCGTCGATCCTTCATAAAACTTGTGTTTTAGTTCATGTCATGTCGTGAAGCTAGATCTTCTATCAGATAACATAGGTACAGCAGTGGTTGTCGCAGTATTTTCTGGAGCGGGCGCTGGAGGAAGTCGGCAAAGGGTGTAGATTAGGGCGGGTAGTTCCCTATTGACCGGAGCTGTGTGTAGTTGGAATAAATCTTTTGAAAAGTTTTAATTGTGGTTAAATTGCTTCGTTACTTTAGTTGGTTGGTTTTGCACTTCACTTTTCGAAATTTTACGACGTGTTATCGAGAGGTGCACGATGAACAACATCACATAAGGACCTTTTTTAAGACCAAATCTACGTACAGCCGACTTGGGAATCCATGTGAAATGTCCATTTTTCTTATAAACTGTTTTGCATGAATTGTTTGACGGAAATTAACGCATCATATATTCTAGATTTAAGCATAGTGTGGAAGTAGAAGATGAAACGTTATTTGTATAATTCAGTTTCAGCACCACGTTGGAACTTGAACTGAAGTGTTTGTTGCTAATTATTATATATACGTATTTTAGATGGTTCGTTTCTTGAATGTGTTTTCTGCGAAGGCAGGATTCACTATAGACACATGCAGCCGATATGCTGCCGAGCAGAACATGGGCGCCAAATTGATAGCTACTCGTCATTGGTACGTGGATTCGCAACCTAAGTGAAGAGAGACGTGCAGTGTTTAAGTAATCTGTTTCGTATCAGATCCAAACAGATGCTTTAAATTTAGGCAACGTGGAGAAAAGATTGAGCGCCTTTGCGGTGTAATTAGTGAGCTGAATGATCAGGAAGAACGGCAAATACTGCGACCTGGGTTGAACGATTTCTCCGTTATGTACAGTATGAGGTATCCTACCATTTCTAGCGCTGATTTCTTTCACGCAGAGCTTTGAAGGAAGAAGTGCGCTCAGTTATGGTTAGGTCCAGGAGCATATATTAATCACGATTGTAGGCCAAGTTGTCGGTTCGTGCCTAATGGGCATACAGCTTCCATTCAGGTAAAGCACTCGAGCTTATAATGCAGCATATGTTGTTTACCATTGTAGATATTAATTTACAGGTTTCACGAGATCTTAAGCCAGGTGATGAAATTACCTGCTTTTACGGCGAAGACTTCTTTGGGGAAAATAATGAGAAATGCGAATGTGTCACATGTGAACGGCAAGTGTTATTCTTAGAATCAAAAGCACAACTAATTTCCATTTGTGTTCACCTGCAGGTTCATACAAAAATCTTTC